TGAAGGAACAGGATATTTCTAGAAAGAGGTGGCGTGATACTAGTCACGTGACCTCGCTGACGCAACACTAGCAATAGCACATTTATTGGATGGCTTAAAAGACTGTTCAACCAAAACACCAAGATACTTTTCTTCCTTAGTGTTGTTAGTTATTTTCACCTTATTTATACTTATAATTTAAATTATGATAATCCACATGCATTACTTTTCTTTTAGTATAATTAAAAGCCATCTGTCAGTTATTCCCAAACTCACTAAATGATATAAATCCTTTTGTAAAGCAGCAACATCTTCTTTACAGCTAGCAATGCCCAAGATCTTAATATCACCAGCAAATTTAAACAACTTATTGACCATTCTTTTATCTGTGTCATTAAAATTTTAATGTTTTGATATAACTGATTTCAGATACCCCCCTCCCAAAAAAACAACAGCAGCAACAACAAAACAATAGTTCTAGTCTTTAACAACTGAAAGAAATTGTTTTATGTAACAGACATTAAATACATAAGTCATATATGCATTTGTGATTTTTGTTTCTGAATACCTGGCTAGTTGGTAGTGGATAATTAAAAGAAAAAGTATCAACTTGCCCAGAAAAGATAAATATTATGCCATATTGCTAGCAGTATATAAATGCTTCAATATAAATTCTAAAGCTGCAAAAATGATTCCAAGCAAGAGTTTTATGTAGTATAAACCTTTTAAAATCCTAACACAAGTTATTTTTCATTTTATTGAGCTTGTTGTTTTAGAACTTGTAATTTCAAAACTGGCATTTACATGTGTATGTGTGTATATATATATATATACATCAAAGACAAATAATTTTAAAAAATCTATAGGAAGTGGCATGAAAAGTTTCCATGATACAAAGCCAGAATATTCAGAAAAAGAATAAATACTCATCTGCTTATATAAAACATATTATATATACTAGAGTAAAGCTTCAAAGTTGTAAACTAATTTAAATTTGTGTTATTTGATAGTAAGGCAAAGCATGATGATTACTTCTGACCTATTTTAAGTTTTAACAAAGTGTAGTATATTAACAAAGTTCTTTAAGCCTGTATTTATCAGTGTTGCAGAATAACCAAAGAATAATATGATTTTGAGTTTAATTTCCATGTAGGCCATTCTCAAAACTGAAAACTTGGGGAAAGTTTATTAAACTTCTAAAAGATTTCTTGAGAAGTACAGCTCTTTCTCTACTCTTTCAGATTCAGATGCAGTCAAAAATACATTTACCCACCAGTAAACAGGGTACACTTATCCATTCACTTCCTCAACAAGCCTTGAGACATGTAGTTCCCACTGTTGTTAACAGCTTGGTTTCAACTGGAACCAACTTAACCTTGAAAACACCATTAGGCACAGCAGTACTGCTCCCAAGCTGTTCGACCTCCACTTCTGCTCTGTTGTCCACACGTCCTGCTGAGCAACACAGATCCCAACCACTTCTTGTGGTACCTTCAATATCTACCCATAGTGGAGATGGTCCTCGATTTGTCCTTAATCTTTCTCCACCAATTAGGATTCCACAGTACCCACCTCCATTAAACAAGGTTACTGTACCTGTGGTGAGTAATGTTTTAATTCCAATAGTCTTTAAAAGTGAATACTTTTTCTCTCTCTCTGTATAAAATCATTTCATTTAGTTAATATCATTTTATATATAGATATTTAAATGAAATAAATTTCATTAAATATAGATCTTTATTTAATGCTGGGAAACATGAGTACATGTACAAGTATTTCAGTTAAATGTATGAGGGATAAGTGTTTCTTTTAGTGTAAAATTAATGTAAAGACATGTTTATATTAGACACTCTTTATGTCAAATGTGCAGAATACATATTTTCAAAATGATCCACTTACCCCTCTGTACACAATACCTATTTCTTGTGCTCCTGCCATTGAGATGTTGCACATAATGCTAGCCTTGAACTATATCTCACCTAAATCATGTCTTGATGTGAACTGCGCTACTACATCATGTGGCAATAGCCCTCTGCCAGTAGGAGGACAACCCATCCTCCATAAGCATTTGCACTTAAACTTGGCATTGCTGTTACCAGATGTGTCTAATTTTGCTCTTCAATTTTGAAAGATTTTGTGTTATCTCTGTGATTGATTTAATTTAGTATTCTTTATAATTACAGTTACTGTCTTTTTTACTATTTCTTCTCTTAGTGCATTCCTATTCTTTATTTTCAACTTTCTTAAGATTTGTGATTCCATATCTTACTTTTGTTTTTTTCTGAATAATGGTACATTTAAAGCTGTGTTACGGTTACCTTTCACATTGTTTTTCAACCATGCCAACTCATGTTTCTGCAACTTCATCATCCCAAGGTTGTAGTTCTGTTCACAAAGACAAAGTTTCATCTGGAGTTAGACTAGTTAACGTCCTCTACTAGGGTTGTTTACAGAACTCGAGACATCATTCAACATTATATTTTGGAATTTCTCACAGCTTCTAACTTATCTATGGCTGCTGGAGGTTCTTTGTCTGTGGAAGATGTTACTGCAAATTTTTACTAATAATTGGTTTTGCATTCCTTTCCACTTCCTCTCTCTCTTGTGCATTCTCCATTCTCGAGCCTGACCATGAGGTCAGTGTTTTTGTCAAACTCTTTCCACTGCTTGGCTTTGCTCTGGCCTTGTTGTTTGCTGTTGATGAATCTCTTCATTCCTCTGTTTTGCTGTTTGTGTCAGGCTTGTTCTATGCTTTCTCATTCTTCTATGTCCTATGTTTCTTCACAGTCTTTATTCCATTCTTTCATGCTGTAAATTTCTTCTATTCCCCTTCACCTGACTTTAATATATATGCTAAGATCTTGTTTCAGTATCATTCCCACTCTTCCCTTCCTCCTCCTCGTCATTTGTGTTATTCCTTTAACATGGCTTATGGTTACTACCCTTCCACCTTCTTGGATCCTTAGTCCCTGAAATCCCTTTTCCCTACTGGGGGGGGGGGTACCCTCTTTCTCCACTATCCCTCACCAGGGCTCACTTCTCCTGTCTTTGCCCCTCCTTGCTCTATCCCTACACTATTCGTTTTCTTCTGGTATGTTTTCTGGAGTATCTTCTGTCAGTTCTTTTCCATACTTAGGACATGGTCTTGCCATTGGTTTTCTCTCTCCTCACATGATTTCTGTGTAATTGAAATCTGTTTATATATGACACTCTTATCTCTGTCTTTCACCTTCCTCAATCCTCTCTATGTCCACTCATTTGCCACAAGATCTTTGGAGTATTCCTTTCACTTGGAGTCTTAGGTGAAAACTGCCTGTCATCAATTTTCTCTTACTTCTTTACTTTCCCATCTTGTCCATTCCCATGCATTCTCTCACGTCCATTAGCCCATGTATCCTTGTCCTCTCTCACATTTCCTCTTGCCACTCCTCTACCTCTAGCTGTCTCCCTTCTAGAGGGTTAGCCATCGTCCATCCTGTCAGTCACTACCTCTCTTTGTACTTGATTGCCTCAGGTCCTATGGGGGAATTTCTTTCTTCTTTGCTAACCTGTGAACTCATTTTATAGCCAACCATTGGGTCACTCAGGTTCTTACCCAATGTCTATCTCTCTCTCTCTTCACTTCTCTTCCCCTTTCCCCATTGTTTTTCCTCTACCTTCTGAGCCTCAGCACCTTCACTATTTTGAGGACACAGTATCAGAGCTGTTGGTGTTGAATGTCATAGAGAGAGTCATTTGCTCTTTGGGTTACTATTCCCATCTCTTCATTGTTCCCATGAATACTGGGGACTGACAACTCCTCATTGTACTTCTTCTATGAACTACTTCTGTTGATTTTCAAGTTTCAGATGAAGAGGTTTCTATCTCTTAGTAGGTTGTTTTTCCCTGGTCTTTGGATGAAGGTAGTCTATATTTAAGATGCCTTTCTGTACATTCCTATAATCATGATGTTGCATTGATTTGTCCACCATGATACAATATACTGGTTTTGGACTGTACCCTTTGACATGGCTATTGCTCCATATGTTTTCAGCCAAGTCACGAGGCTTTCACTCACCACATTCACAGTCTCAGAATTTGTTTCTATTTCTTTCTGGACATTTGGCTATTTTTTGCTTCTACTTGGTAAACCTTTTCTACAGCCACATCCTTTCTCCTCAGAGAGACTGTTTATCTGGGATGGCTGTTCTTATTTTCTTGTTTATTCCTGATTCTGTCTCTATATTTGATCCACCTTCATTCAATCCTCATTCGGGTTCATCCTTCTCCATTTTGTCTGCATTTTCTAGAATGTCTGATCATCTCAGCTCTTTTGGTCTTCAATCTCACATCTGGATGCTCAAATTGTGGACACCCTCAGTCTATATTGGTCTCTTCTTTTCTGTCTGTGTTCC